CACTGTCCTAACCCGAAGCAGTGACCAAACATCAGCTTGATATTAATGCTGTTTGGGCTGAAACCAGGATAAGATAACAACATCATCCTCAGCATAACTGTTTAGCTTCAGCTTTTTTTCAGCTAGTCTAAGGAAACTGTACTTACATTTAAAATCTTAGGTGTTTTGGATGTACTCTTAAAACCAGAAAACCTGACATTTGACTAAGCAATAAAAAAACAAAACAAAAAAAAAAATCCACTAGCTCCCATGGCAGTCCTGTATCCTCTTAACATTTTCTTGTAACTATACTGTTTTATAGATGAAACTGTCATCGCGAAGATGACAAATCTAACACATAAAAGAACAAAAAAAGGACAATAAATCACAAGTGACACTCCAGCCCACTGGAATGCACTCAGCCACTGCAGCAGAAAGTGAGAAGATTTCCACTTGCTTCACATTCTGCCCATTGGAGTGGGAGAAGCAAGATCTCTGCACAACTGGTAAAAGAAATGCTGGAGGTACATATAATAACAAGCTTGGAGTTTTATGTATGACAGTCAGATCATTCTCACTTAGTCTCCTCCTTCATGCCATAATGGCACCATACTTCACACCAAAGAGCCTTTGGCTTTACACCATATAGGTGTTTGCTCTCCCTATGATAATTATGCACAGCTCCCACTGATACCAGTTACGTTCAGAAGAATCAATAAAAGAATAATATCCTAAAACTGTGGATTCAACTGGAAGAAATGCCTGCATATACCTTTGTTATTATAAACAACACTGCAGTGTCAAGTAGGAATTCATGGGTTATCCATTACTCAAAGCAGCACTTTGTGTTTCCACACATCAGAATACATCTAAGCCAATGCTACAAGGTACAGGATTGAGAGAATGGAACATGATGTTTGTCCAGCCCCTGTGGCTATATCTCAAATTACACCAGTTCTGTTAAGCAAACTAGATAAGTAGAAAAAGAGTCCTTTTCAAATTCACACTTCTGTTTTTGTGCTAATAAATCATTTTTAGTAATGCTGAGGCTGAGAGTAATAAATCTGGAGTAAATCCTTTCACATAAAAAAAAATCCAATATTCGAGTTGAAGTTTTTCACTTTCATACTGGAATGGCTAGTAAGAGAATCCGACCAAGATGTTGATAAATGTTACGTACTGAACTAGATCTGAAGCGATCTGTATATTTTATTATACAGCTAACTTCATAAGGGAGGAGAAAGTCACTGGAACTATTTTTATGATTCTTGTTTGGCATGGATTTAAAATATGCTGCTTAAGGTATGCAGGGTAAAATTCATATGAGCTTTAAGATAGTCACTATCATAAAAGAATACTTCTAATTCTTAAGTATCAGTCATTCTATAAGATTTCTGACATATCTTATTGTATCTGATCTGTACCAAGAGTTTTATCTATGAAGAGTGTACAATACAGAACTCCCACTTCCACCTGCATGTGTAATTAACAATGGGTAGTAAAAAAGGGCATTCTTTGGAAATCAGCCTTAATAACATCTAGCAAAGCGGTGGCTGTTCCACTAAATCACAAATGGAAATACTTTAAATATAAGTTGCTCAGACATATTCCAACAATAAAGAAAATGCCTGAAAGAATGAACATCCTAATCACAATTCCAAGCATGGTATTTTATCAGAATGCAGACAGAACAGATGAGGGCCAAGTGAATACCAAATATGGCTAATTTAAGCCTATTACATGAAATGTCTCTTAAAAAATAGCGAAGCAAAATGCAGAAGCTTTCAGGATTTCTCAGAAACATAGATTTGTTATTCAACTTTAAAGTCAAGCTTATAGTCACTTTCAAGTGGTAACTTTTTGAAAAATCCTATAAATGCTTTCAGATTGTACTGTAGAACTGCATTAGCTGTATTTGCTTGTGCAAATACGGAGACTGCGTCATGAGGACCATTATGCTTTCACGTACACACAGTATTTTCTCTTGGCTAACAGATGATAAAAACTTTCCCACCCTGCAAGCTCCAAGTGAGTACTGAAGCAAGGAGTAGCTATAGAGATATTTAGGACAAATAGCAGGTAATTCTATGGCTGCAAGTCACTTCTGTATGAAAATGAGGGAGAAAGGAAAGAAAGAGGAACTAATGCATTGTTTATAAACTTATTTATCAGTCAGTACCAGGATGAGTTGATAACAGAGACTGTGCAAGTTGGCTGGAAAGCTGAACTGTATTATCACAGTTTGCTGAAAAGGAAGATCTCTTAAAAAAAAAAAAAAAAAAAAAAAAAAGCATCAGCTTCCCACCAGAAAGAAAAAAGAAAATCCCAAACCTGTCCTCCCGACCACAAATCACATATCTCCTCAAATCCTAAAAGGGAAACATAACTTCTTGATTGCAAATGTGATTATTTTGATGTTCAGCAGAAAAGTAAGGAAAAGGCATTAAGCAGAAAATGCTTTGCAGTGTTATTTAACTGCTAGACCTGAAAAGCCTTGTGGTAACTACAGCTGGCAACAGCCCTATGACTTCCACATAAAAAAAACCCTTTTACATGTAGATCCTTTCTACAGCCTGGGAGAAGGAGGAGGGAGAACAAGCTCCATTCCCTTTTCTCTCATGCCTGCACCAGCTCCTATGAATCTCCTTTAAGAAAATCTTTGGGTTCCTCATGGGCACTGCAGATACCATGACTGCCTTACTACCTTGAAGGTTCTTACACAGTCTGTCTTTAGAAAAGCTTATTGCTGTAAGAACAACCATGTGTGCAGGGCAAAAGGACTTACACTCCCTATTGTGGCAACTGAGAAGGAAGATGAAACTTCTTCCCTTTTCACCACATGGCCTTTATAAAATGAGAAGAGCTCGTGGAGAAAAAAAAAAAAAAAGAAAAAAAACCAACAAAAAACAAACCAACAACAAAAAAAATAGGAATCATTTCAGAGACTTTCGAATACATTTCAAAGACAGCCACAAATGCCATTTGTAGATATAATTTAATACTTTGTCCATATATAACTAGTCTCTGATTATAACGCTATAAGGCTGCATAAGCCTAGGCTGCAGCAAATGAGAACAAGCCCAAATGCAGCAGCCATGGACGTATAAACAAAAGAAGAAAAACTGCTTACCTTTAGAATGCCTCAGACAGGCAGGAATCTCCAGCAATAGATACCCTTGCCTCCACTGCCAACCCTTGAATGAGGTCTGGGAAGGGGTGGGGATCCACCCCTTACAGATAGTCAGATGAATGCAATGAGCTCCCCTGCGTTGGCCCTGCCTTCCTACCAGGTGCTCAATCACTAGCTCAGGCCATGAATCAGCATTTTTGCTACACTGGTATAGCAGATGTATTTATTTAAGGAAAAATAAGTAAGAAAGTCACAGATCTGACAGACAATTTGAATATCCAAGCTATGCACCACCAGGAGCAAAGTAACCAGTGCTTTGCCATATATTAGCTATGATACGTATTTGTTAGATATATCTCTGATCTCTCATTGTTAACTACAGTAGATATTTCCACCTTATAGAACAGATCTGTTCTCTGGAGGTCCCTGTAGCTACTCAGTTCTGCATTAAAACAAATTAAAAAAAGGAAAAAGAATGAGATGAAAAACATTTACTTCTCCATCTGGAAATATATATATACTTATTTGAATCCTGAGATGAAGAAATAAAAATTGCTGAAGTTCAAGAGATGCTGTTTGTCTATTCAAAGCCCTGTTTGTACTTGCAAGTAAAACACTGAGCTATAAAAATGCATGTGGACAGTGCTACTGACAGATCACTAACAAGAACACACAAGTACTTCCTAGCATCATACATCCATTATTCTGGTTAGCTCCTATGTTATTACATAATACGAACTTACATGCAACAATTTTCTCCTGATTGACGCAATAACTTCAGCATTATGTATTTAAGCTTTGTTATACAAAACACATATCACAGCATTAAAATCTATTGTAAACATGCCACTGATCCTCTTTTCTTCAGTTGAATTATTTACCTGTCTCTTGTTGACTGATGGAGAATCCAGATGCTAAGGATCTAAACTCCCCTTGACCCTTAGGCACCCCAGCAGCAATATTTACACATTACTCAAATAAGCCAGTGTTCCTGAAAAAGGCAGTAATTTTATCACCTGCTAAATTCTGATGGATTAGGTCTAACTTCCCCTCTTGCATTTTTCAAACTCACCTTAGGTTTTAGAAATTTGTTTAGTGCATTTTCTCACTATTTGAAAATACAAGGGTTTGCACTTTCTTTTTGCAACAAAATGAAGTTTCCTTGAGTTTGTAAGGATTTCGGTACATTCTGAACTGGCCTTCAAGCCACACTCAGCCCAGTAATTGTCTCACTTCTGCACTGAGTTTTTGTGACAATTAGATCTAGAAACCTTACAGCTCTGTTCATTTTCATATCTCACACCCTAGGTTATTTTAAGACTTGAATTCATATATGACATAACGAGGGAATCGGTTTTACTTCTTTTTAAATTTTATGCATTTTGAAATGTTGACAGAAAATCTGACCTTCCCAATACACCATGGGAAAATATAAAATGACAAACATTAATGAAAGGTCTTTGTTCTAATTTATACATGCAACTTGTGAACCTTAAATAAATGACAGATATACTAGTGTCTTGATCTAATAACAGAAAAAAAAAAAAAGCAAGTACATAGGTAGATATTTGCATTTAAACTATGACTGAATTTACACATGGAGTGAAGCTAGATCTCTTCACATTAGGCTTGAAAGAATATTCCATAGATTACACACATAATGGAAACATGCAGTAGAGTTGTACATATGGCCATGCGTGTGTGCGTTTTGGTGCCAAGCACACAATTTAATTTAATATAATGGAGCTGAAGAAAAACTTACAAACAAAAAGAAAGTTTTAACACAGAAAACTATTTACGAGCAGAGAATGAAGAAATCATCAGGGAAAAGGAGCCAAACAAAAGGAGACAAGAATGGGCATGATGACTTGTCTATACTTGAACTTCTGACCTGTTAGTTGGTCGTCGCCTGCAGCAGGGGCGATGCGAATGTATGGTGTTGTAAGCTGAGTCACGATTATCGCAGCTAAGGCAAAGGAAGATTTCCAGGTCAGCATGCATGAGGGAAAAAAAAGCCAGACTGAAGCTAGGCCAGCAAGAAGAATCTTGGTCAATAGTTTATTGTCTGAACTTCTTATAAACAAAAAAGGTAAAAACAAAACCAACAAACAAAAAAAAAAACCCAACAGCACAAGTTTCTTTTCATCTTCAGTTGTTAGTTTGGTTATTGTGAATAAATGAGTTTTTGTATATGACTTTCCAGAAGAGGACTCAAAGCACATTATTTACATAAAATGTGTTTGAGGAAACTGGAGACTGTTAGGCTCTGCTGGTTGCAGCACTGGGCTTTCTAAGTGAAAGGCTACCGCCTATGAGATCACTCTGGTCTTAACTTCCCTATGTAATTTGTACTCATTTCACATTTTATTATCTCATTTTATTATATTTTTCTATATTTCCTGTTAAGATAATTTTCACATAAATGCTCTTGAGCTACCTTAGATTCATTTTTATTGAGCCTACTTAGGTCTCTGCTCTGGAAACGCACACACTACCCATACACTTAACTTGCAACATTCAAAGAAAGACCACTGAGTTATCACCTTTGAGTTAGGTACGTCTGTAGCTGACTGAGGTCCAAGCTTTACATCACCTCATGTTCTGCCACTACAACAAGAAAAAGCTGAAAAACTCAGATTGTCTGTGTTCCAAGTGCCCTGATTTTTTTGTCAGAGCTGTTAACAGTCTGACTGTTACAGATAAGTATTAGCGTGCTCACAGTAATAAGAACTTGTACTTCTTTATTTGCCATTATGATTGCCTCTAAGTGGTTAAGCACACTATGGTACATATGTATTAAGGAATATAAAAAAAAATTAAAAGGTCAGATCCAACATGATGCAGCTGGAGAATGATGCAAAGCAAAAATATTGGAAAATTAAGGAGAAAATTATATGAAAGATCACTAATTTACACAGAACAGCCTGGGTGCTATTAGAAATGTGGCAACGAGTGAGGAAAATAGATCATCTACCATCTGCAGACAATTAAACTCAAAACTGCTGCTGCATAATATTTTGAAATATCCCTCTGCAACACTGAAACGCAGTGTTGATAGTAGCTGCTTGAGTACTGTTGCTATTCGATTTAAAATATTATAATATCCTTTTCTCTCTCATAATTAATGAAAGCCTTCCAATATCGCAGAATTTGAACAATAACGTCTGCCTCTTGAGAACTGGAATCCTAGGAGATAGTCAAGATGTCTCTATCCAGACAGAGTTGTAAGTCATATCAGGAAATATAGTCTTAATATAAATCACAAAACACCATAAAGTTGATAGCAATAAACTTGGAAGAGTTCTGGAATGTTTTCAAGTTCGTCTGCTGAGATTTCACAACCATTTAGCTTGAAGAAAGAGTACATATATGAAAGCCATATCTCAAACAAAATACGACAACCTTTATTATCACTGGTATGAAAATTTCTTCCCAATTTTTGTTTGTTTGTTTGTTTAATTATCTTGTCAAAGGTAATGGGAGTGGAAACCCTGCAGTCTCCACATTTGTATATACACCAAATAGTAACAGAGGTCCTAGAAGGCTTTCTCTACAGACAACTAAGAACAGAAGATTCTACATCACAGGAATACGCTATCTGATCCTTCTCCAAGCACAGTCAGTGGCAAAGGTTCTCTCTGACTTCAGCAGAAGCTGGAGGAGAACAAAATCCAGTATTCTGATCCTAAATTACAATTGCTGGAATCAAGATTTTTATATGATCTCAAAAAAGGTGGTGGTGATGGGGGAAATGTAGACATGTGGGCTGCGAATGGGACAGGACAATTCTCCGTCTTGTCTCAGTGCGTGACTCAGTGCATCCAGATGTGGTGACTTCTGACCTACAGAAAGTAAGAAGTCTGCTTTTCTCCTTACCTCTACTGGATCTAAACAGGAAAAAATATTTGTACAGATATCTATAATTAATATCATATTACAGTATGTCACAGTCTACATTTTAGTTTTCAAAAAATAATATAGTTTGAATATATAATAGAGATTTGCAAGCACAGTGATCAGTGCTTTTCAGAAGCCCCTCTGTAAAATTTTGTACCAGGGACTATGAACGCCTTTGAGGACACTTCTGACTTCCAAGTTCGCACAATAACACCTTGTATGACTTTACAGACTGCACAAAGGTATTATGAACAATTCTGAAACCAGCTTTCAAAGCAAAAAAGTACAGAGATTTGTTTAAAATAAAAGCTGCATTTCTCATCTCCCTATTGTCAGATGTGCTACCTTGTTGCTATGGAAGCTATTCCCATCCATGAAGTCACCCTCACTTCTCAATCGAGAGAGTAAGGTTTTTCAGTCAGTCAAGTAATTGAAACAGTTGAACATCCATTAGTGATTAGGATTACAAATCTTCAAATCATCTAAAACCCATTCCCCTAATCACCTATTATGATTTGTGAGGCAATGTAATCTGCTCCTGGCAACACCAAAACTCCCAGAAAACAGCACAGAGTTTCATTTTAACATGATATTAATATATTTTATGTTTTATTAGGATTTAGTGAAGATATTTGAAAGTTTGCTATGGCATAGTAAGCAGTCAGTAAACTGGAAATAAAACTTCTTACTTTGTTCTTGGAAAAAAAAAAAAGGAAATAGTTTGAAGAGATAAATTTTTCATATAAGGAAAGAGGCAATCGTGCTAACATTTCATTTATTTTTCAGTAATGAGATTCTAATCCATCATGTTTAGATATATTGGAGGTGGTGGAACGACATCATCTGTATGGAAATGGAATCATGCTGCAGCCAGCTGCGTTGAGAATAGCCACTATGAGATACAACGAAGAATTTTCCGTGTCACACTCTTACCAGGTATCCAAACTGCAAAGAAGCATTAACTATTCCTCTTTAGCAGCAGTTCTTTTCCATTCCTTTCCTTTCCTTTTCCTCTACTACAATCTCCACATAACCATATTATCCCAGCACCTCTTTTTCATGCCTTGAAGCTGGCACTAGCTAGAGGTGCTAAAAAGATGAGAGTACAAAGATAATTAGAGACAAGTCCTAGCCTTCGAAGTTAAATAAATCAGCAATATGTTTACCTTTCCTCTCTGGGGATCAAACTCATAGCTAGGACTGCCTCGACCATACCATCTTTCTCACAAATGGCAGTAAGATGCGCTGACATTTCAGTAAAAAGAGCTGTTCTACACCATGAAAATGAAGAACACAATTTCTCCACTTTTCTTTTTTAAAGCAGTAAAGATAATTGCTTATGGGGAAGGGGTGATTTTTCACTAATACACATGTAGCTACTTTGCACTCTGCAAACTGGCAATTTTACAAATCTATTATATATAAAAATGTCCAAAACATTGAGAGATCATATAAAAACCCCCAGAATATATTTCAGAGAAAGTGTTCAAGTAAACAACTAGAAATTAGTAGCACATTTATTATTAATAACAAACAAACAAACAAACTTCCTAAATCTCAGCTAGAGACACAAATGAATCCTTTAAAATTCTGTAACAGATTCAATGATACCTTTTAGCAACATAAAACACTTCTGCAAGACCAAGAGAAGGAAAGGTCAACAGTCCAAATTACAGAATACATCACATAATATGAACATACCTTTTGTGGCTACCCTGACGCAGTCAATCTTGGTTTCCTGTGTAAAATAAAGAGGAAAAAGGTCACATCTCGTGTTTCTAAGCAGAGAAAGCCATCCATGTTTCTACTCTTAAAAAGTATTGATACAATGCAGGAAAAGTGTGTACTTAGTGTTCTTCGTTATATATTTAACTTGTTATGATGGAACTCCACTGTGCTTTCACAGTATGGACAAACACTGTTTTGGTATGTTACATAAACAGTTCAGTTAGTAAAGAAAACAGGCACATGATTCGCAAAAGCACAGGCAAGCGTTCAGCTTTTTCACTTCGGTAACTTAATGACCTTGGGAGATTTTTCTTTTTCTTACAGGTAAGGATAACTCTAAGCATCATGCTAGACAATTTTAGAAAGAAAAAATAATCGATGGCGTTTCACATTTCTGCACTGTCAGTGCAATGTGAAAGAGGGACCATTATGGTTTCTGGCAGAAAACATTTCCAGGCTGTCAGCACAGACAGCCAAAGCTTATCAAGAATTGAAGGGCTCTGGGTAGGTCTGTCCAGGAAATGAAAAACAATTCCAGGAAAAATTAGCCTGATGAAACATGATCTGTGAAGGCCTTTTTACACACTCTCATTCCAGTTCCATCTAGTTATTTTTCTTTTACCAATTGCAGAAAGGAAAAGAATAAAGATTATTTCTAATTCAGCAAGGGCAACCAAATGAGAAAGTGGGAGTTGAACATGGTATAAACTAAGGCAATGGGATTGGACAGGCCAAGACAGATGTGATAAAAGCCACAATCAAGTTTGGCTTAAATTTAACAAAAGGAATCACAGCACTCCTTTTATCTTTGAAAAGGAAAGGAAAACAAAAACAAAAACAAAAAAGACGAAAAGCCACTGGACAGCTTTTAGATAATGACAAAATGGCAATGCATTACTTTGTTTATTCGCTATTGACAAAATGTGCCGTTTTCTCCTGTTCTTCCTGTAACCTTTAATCATTAAGCTAGACCGTGTCAGGAAAACTGTTATTTTTAAAATTCATGTGTTAAATTTCACAGTTACTTCATTTTCTCATTAGCAATTACACTGGGCATCTTGGTGGTTGATGCCAATTATCTATTTACACACAGTGTATAAAACCACAACTGTCATAAGACTTACCCCATTGGCTCTGCTAGCAGCTTGAAAATAGATGCTGTAGCTCTTATGAGGAAGAAGAGGAGTATTCCAGAAGCCACTGTAGGTTTTGTTATCACCAATAGTAAAAGGTTGAGCAGCTTGTAAGCCATTGGCTGGAATCTCTGCAGCAAAGTAGTACCGGGAATTCAAAAGTGAGGCATTTTGGAAATGAATGGGCACTGGGTAGCACTTCAGGATCTCAGTTGTCTTTTTGGTCCTCCGAGGGCGTTCCTCTTCAACAACTATTTGGTAGACACTAGGAGCATAGAAAGGAAAGAAGAAAAAAAAACAACCATATGCGTTATAACACTTGGGCAGACAATTCTTTCTGAGACCTTAATCTGGCATACCAGTATTTATGGAAAAAACACACCACCACCACCACCAGCCTGTAACGAGAAAACAAATTGGGAAGAAAGTCTCATTTTGGTATTCAAGTGTATGAATTTATGGCATTGATTCACGCTTTCAGATAAATTAATTTTGTTTTAGAAAAATAAAATTAGCCACATACATCACAGCTTTTCGTTCAGCAAATTCATGGAACACTTTCTTGTTTGAACTCTTGTACAGCAAAAAGCTTCCTTGATTAGTGCTAAAACATAGAATTAAGTATTATTTTGTTCAAAGAACTAAGTGTAAAGCTATAGATACCATCTTCTACCCTGTTTCTCTTGCCTAAATGAAATTAAATGAGTAGTTAGATAAAAATGAAGAAATAAATTACAAAGAGACAGGGAATAGTATTTGCTTAACTGTTGACATCATAACTATTTATAAAAGCACACATTAAGTAAATTAAAGTCTTCTAAAATTTTGATGGTATATCAACTGTTACTGAGCAAGGGTGAAGTACTTTTTGATGGATGTTTTTTTCACTCAGCAAAGCACTTTTCATACATCTTAGGGATAATCTTGTTCTTAAGCGTTTCTGCATTCTGCAGAGCAATTCAGGCTATAGTTGCAGGTTTTGCTGTACTGGACCCACAGGGAGTAGCCAATTCCTCTTCACTGTAAAGGTGCAGTGGACATACAAGCAGAAACAAAGAAACTGTGATTTCTGCTGTATATGCAAACAGCGAAATCATTATACCCTCACAGTTGCTGTAAAAGTCTGAGTCAGTGCTTTCAGATTTGTGAAGTGGGACATCCATGTCTCTAAAGAGGACTTACTTGCAACTTTATTGCTTCACTGGAGACCAGTGATTTTTAATCATTATTTGTCTTCTGAAATCTTGAATCCAAGCAAGCAAGTCAGTATGGGTAACAGATCTTAAAGAGACAATGCGTCTACTTTTCTGTATGCCATCTACATCTAATAACAATCTACAGTATTTGAAGTTGATAATTCATAACAAGCAGCAATCTCTGTGCAGGGTATATTCATTTAACTGGCAATAGCCACAGCCTTCTGACACGTTGTCCCCACTCCATCATCCTTGTGTTTACAAAAGCCTGCTGTAAGCACAGGGATGGTTGGGCTGGGTGACTGTGGTCAGTACAGATGACAGAGGGTTTACCTCTTCTGCCTGAATTAGATCTTTACTGTTAAGACACTTTAAGTGTCTTTTTGATGATATCTGAACAACTCTAAAATCCCATTAAAGTCAGCAGGGAGCAAGTCAGTACAGGCAGCAGATTTTAAAGACCTGACCAGCTAGAAGGAATCTTTCAGGTCAACTGAATTGCTTTCTAGGCTCTTACTGACTACAATAACACATCTAAAAATCTGCACCTGGACACCTAATTTTGGATTTTTCAATCTGAAGAAGAAACCCATGCAGAAATCTATGTTTAAGTAAAATTAGGTACAGCCACAGAGACAAACAAGTACCTTGAGGGGTCACTTGAAGACCACTGTCGGCACATTCCTTGGAAAACGAGGTCTATATTTTTTAGCAGAAAGATTTCCATTAGTTGACTAATTCCATGCTAAGTAGTAAGGGAAGGTCAATGCACAGCAGCCTGTCTGCAATTCAAATCAACAGCTGACATAACTTTAGAACAAAAAGTAGCTCAGAAGAGTGATTCCAGACTACTTTGAGGAAAGACTGTTAACTCCTCTAGCTATGAAATTACAGTGAATCTACAAGAAAATACTGTTTGAGAATTGGAATATTGGAGGAAATAAAAAGTGGAGAATGATTCAAACATGTGCTCTTGCAAGGTATTAAACTGGACACAGCTGCCAAATACCACAGCAAAGATAAGAATCCCATGTTCTCACTATAACATGGCTAGTAAACCAAATTTTTGATTTGGCTGTCAGCCGTGAGGAGAGCTGTCTCCTTTTTTCTTGCAACAGAACTGAATATAAGAAGCATCTCAGACCAGGCTAAGTAATAAGACTCGTTTCACTATCAGTTGAAATGAGCACTCTTTTCATTTTACACTAAGTGATTATAGCTAGAGATTGTAGGTATTTTAGAAACAAATCTGTCATTAAAATGCTCCTTTTCTTCTTGCAAATTCATATTAGTTATACTTCATGCACTACTCCAGTGTATATTACATTTTAAATGCCTGCCATCTATTCATCTTCAGAAACATTAAAGAAAGAGATAAATTGACTGGAGCAATTTCAAACTCAAGATGTCTTTTCATCCTTACTCCACAAGACAAATTAGATTTGCAAGCATCTAGACCTCAAATCTATTTTCTCTTTAATAATTTAAGTACTAAAAGGTCAACCAGCTCTTTTCTGTTCCCCTTTATCAAAGTCCAAGTGCTAATGAAAAACAACTAAATCCTATCTGCTGCCCATTTTCCACACGGTTGTTTCGCTGACGTAAATTAACACATTGTAAATACCTGGGTCAATGGAAACCTGACAGTACTTGAATGATATATTTTATATTTGTATAAATGAGATCATCTTGCTAACAAATTTTATACAATTAAATCAACTACAATTATAATCCAATCACTAATTCTTATAGTTAGGTGCTTTCTTTAATGTGTAACTGTCCAATTGTCTATGCTGAAAAGGGTCCAAACCTAATAAATTGAGCTAGAATTGCATCAGAACTTTACTATTCCTCAGAGATATTAGTCATATTTTCCGCTTATTTGAAGTTGCATTATTTCTTTTCCACACCTCTGTATGTCAGAGGATAAAGTCTTCCTATCTGTAATCCAAAAAAAATAAAATCTACGCTGTAGAGAAAGGTGTTGAAAGTATTTCAGCTATTGGTAGGACTTATATTGAACTTTCTGAAGGAAAGAAGCGTAATTTGTGTTTAATTTACACTATGCAATTCTACTGCAGAATTCCAATACCTTGGAAATTGAACACAAAATCTACTTTTATATTGACTGAAATTTAGAGATGCATCAAAAATGAAACATATGGCAATTACTGTAAACTTAGGATTCAAACATTTCAAATGTTGGGATAAAAAGCATGGAAAAAGAAAAACTAAAAGACATTTTCTGAACTGCTTTTTATTTTAACAATTCCAAAATGGTTCCAAATTTAAATGATTATACAGAGATACAGATCTAAACATAATGAGGACCACAAATTTGGTTAGCAATTAGAATTACCAGGCTTCTCAGATATTTACTTAAAGCAAATTGTTCAAATTAAAACAATCTTTCAATGCCTCCTAAAAATAGAGAATTTTTTTCAGGCAAAGCTGAAAATATAAAGCATGAAAGAAGTAAAACATTCTAACAAATTAATCAAAGATGCTAAAAGAATTTAGATATTAGAAAAATGAATCATGGTATTAGTCACATGCTGAATCTTGACATTACTCCACATTACTGGAAGACAGTAGATCACACATTATTTAATCAAAGTCTTATTCAAGGAGACAAAGTCATTTTCCAGAGAGATCTACTGGGTAAAAGAGTGGATTTCCAGGTTCTTAAAACAGAAGTCCTTAAAATGGACAATCTAGGTATTAATCAATTGAAGTTTATGAATCTGTAAATGCAACTCCACCAAAAGCAATTTCAAATTGAAAACAAAGGGAAAACAAGCTTGGTTACTTTGTTATTGAAAATCTGCCCAATTTTTTCTCCCTTTAATAGTCTTGATGTTTCACTTAACTGGAAGCAATTTGTTGACATCATCAGGAATTTTAAAAAAAATAACAGAACAAAAGTGGCCCAATGGTCTGAATCTAAACTAAGGTTATCTGGATTTCTTTACTAGTATTAATACAATATTTGTGTGCAATCCTAGACAAGTAAACAATTTTGTGCCTCAGCTTTCCAGCTGTAAAATGAGTGGGAAAGTTTCTTATTCCCTCTGGACCAGTTTAACTATTAAAAATTGAAACTAGGTAATGTACAAAGCCTGCAGAGCTGTTAAGAATCAAAAGCACTGCCCCAGTCAGCTCTGTAAACTGCTGGACTAGTTTTGCAGACTAGTTTTACATCACTGGTAACAGTGATGTCATGGAGTCTAATTTGAAGTTTTCTGCTCTTTATAATCTTTCTAGTCTCATAAACATAAATAATTGGTATATTTTATAGATCTATATATTTTTTGATTTGTATACTTTTTTAAAAAACGCAGTCAGATTGAAACAATAGAATGGCTTAATATACCTATCAACCACTATTTCAGTTATTTATTCCTGTGACCAACCCTACTTTATCTGTATACACTGAATAAAACATGTTCCAACTGCTGCCATTTTCATCATAGATGTGAAAACAGTGAATTGACTGAACAGTAGTCCTGTCCCTCTGGCCAAAGTTGAATTTCGCACATTTTCTCAAAGGGAAAGGCAGACAGTGTTTAACTGTGTTTTTTCTGCATGTCAGAGGCCAGAGCTATATTCAAGATTAGCGCTGATAGCTTAGAAGGACTGGGTGCACTAATAATTGTTCCAAGAGAGAATAAGACTTTGGTATAAGGGATTTCTGAAAGAATATAGAGCGCATAGTATACTTAGGAAGGTTGACTCTTCCTTTCCAAACATCAGATGTGAGGCAATCTACACGAGACTAGATTTTTAAAAATTATTTATTATTTTGCATTATTACTGACTACAATAACACATCTAAAAATCTGCACCTGGACACCTAATTTTGGATTTTTCAATCTGAAGAAGAAACCCATGCAGAAATCTATGTTTAAGTAAAATTAGGTACAGCCACAGAGACAAACAAGTACCTTGAGGGGTCACTTGAAGACCACTGTCGGCACATTCCTTGGAAAACGAGGTCTATATTTTTTTAAATTCATTTTCGAAATTAAATCAGGCAGGAAGGTACAAACAACATCCCACATTTGACATC